AGAATTAGAAATAGATAAACGAAAGTTTGTTGTACATATTGAGAAGGATATTTTTAATGAGATTACAAATGAAGTCATTAAAGCAGTTTTAAAATATAAAATCTCCAAGAGAACAATTATAAAGTAATTTTTTTCATTTTAAATGTATTCTTAAATTAATTTTGCTTGACTTGAGTTGGTACATATATTTTAAATTAATTTCTCTATATAAAACATGTCTATATAGCATATAATATCAAATATTTGTTAGTAATTTGCTTGGAATCCAATTTCATGTCCACTGATGATTCCTAACAAGACTTAAGGAGTGATTCCCATAAATTTAGTCCATTGCTAGTGCAATTCTTCCTTTTACACTTGCAACCATAAAGGTGCAGATTCAAGTCTTAAGAGAGGCCACTTCACACCTGATCGTTGCAAGGTGGAACTATCTCCAAACTCCCCACCCTAAGACCTCATTCATGGAACCATATCGGGGTAACAGCCTCTACATGTTAACAGGGCCAGGCTTAATGGTAGGTTCTATACATTATTTGCATTCCATTACACCTGGAAACTTGAATGACACCTAACAATTGCTTCACAGGCAACTCAACTTAACTCGATTGGCATTGTTAGGATTTGACATGATATCCATATATAAATTATGCAAAACAAGTGTTCACTTAATCAAGTTCTATATAAAAGCAACATCCAGAATAGAAAAATCCCTACTACAACTCACGTTACAACTAAAACACCCTTGGATAGAAATAACCAGAATTGCTAAACCTTAAAAGGGAAATGACCAAAATTGTTAAGTTAACTCTAGGCTTGGAATTTGATTAGTGATAGCATGAAACAAGTCATTGTGACACACACATTCCTCTTTTTGGAGGCATAAGATTTACACATCAGTTTGCCATCATTCAGCTATTGCTGATGTTACAATTAAACAGACTTGCTATGCACTGCACATAACTTTCACAATGAGATTTTGTTTCATAAGGGTTTTTTTTTTTTTTGAAGAAAAATACAAACAGAGAAAAAGAAGTCCTCTTGTAATGTCTCACAATGACTTGACAAGAACAACTCAATCTAGCAACCATTTCCATTTTACTGACTTTTGAGGATTCAGTCAACTTGGTCAAGTTCCTCCTCAGCTCTACTATATACCTTACCAAATGAAAAATAAGGAGGGCACCCACAGGTACAGTGGAGGACATGAGAATCATTTTGGGAAAAAACAAGGGTATATTAGTACTTGAAACAAATCCAAACACCGTATCAAATACAGAATAAAGTATCAAACAAGAGACAAAATTTAAGACAACACTATCCTAGTAAAAAGCGCTAAGATAATACTAATAAACTATCAAAATAACACAACAGATAAACTTAGAGAGAGAGAGGATGCGGGATTATAAGACTAAAAAAGTACAAGCTCAATAGTTTCAAGAGAAAGATAGGGGTATAACAATAATTTGATACTTAAGACACCTTCATACATGCAATAGAAAGAAGCCCCTTATGTCTATTCTGTTATCCTCTTAAAATCCTAAACAATTTGTCCTTTGTACGGGATAAAATTTGCAACACAGACCAGGTTTCAGCAACACTTCTGTTTTTAGGAAAAAAAACCCAGAAACACAAATAGCAAGAAATTATTTCCTGTTTAAACATACAAAAAAAAAGGCTTAAAAAACAGCAAAAAACTCTTTATCACACTTGCTGGTGAACAAAGGAAAGCTCTCTGTGTCAAATAGAGAAAAGAAACAGAAAAGATGAAAAATCTACTAACTTTTAAAGAAGAAACACCTATTAATAACAGAGAGCAGCTGTTAAATTAAGCGAAATCAGTCCTTTTTTGTAACCCATTTCAATCTCATAGCCCTCGGACTTTTGAAAGTGAACCCTCGAAAAACACAAATGCTCAGATGAAAATGTGCTGACACACAACACATGAATTCAAAAAATGGGGTTTGTAGTTGGAAAAACGAAGAACTTGAAACTTGATCCAGTGAGTGTTAGAGAGGACTGAAGTGGTATTGTGAAGGGTAATAGTGTCTTTTTACAAAAAAGCACAAAATTGGTATCTTGCAAGTCACAACAAGAATCTTTCAACCAGAGAAATGTAGATGCATTGTTTGTGAGTGTTAAAGCCCATGAGTTCAACTGAAACCTTAAACAAAAGAAAACAAGAACATAACTTGTGTAAGAACACATTACACAAAAACAACCCCAAAAATAAACAACACATGTTTCCAACGTCGGGAATCAAACTTTAAGGAAAATAAATAGCGAGAAAAAGGGAAAGACCATGAAACTCACAACTTGAAGCAGATCAAAAACACAGAGTAATTGACATGAAATGCATGGTCAAACCCATAAAATGAATCAACTTTCTTGCTTATTTACCTGATAGTATCTAGCTACGGAACCTTGAAATTTGAAAAGGACCAAGATTTGCAGGAGCTAAACAAAACCCAGAACTCAAAAACCTCGAAAGTAGGGGAGAGAGGGAGAGTGCAGCAGAGAAAATGGAACTTGTGGGTTCTTGTGTCGAAAAAAGGGAAAATTTTGAAAGTACAAGCAGGAACATAATCCAGTGACATAGCTGTGGTCACAGCAATTGGTAAAAGAGACTGAACTGTAGTGCTGTTTACCTCTTGGTTTAATGATTCACTTGGTCCCTCTATTCTATATTTTGTATTGGTTCAATCCCTTCTCTTTTATCTACTCTATGGCCCTCAATTTAACACCAAGATTTTACAGCATTACGAAATAAATAACAATATCTTCTCTGCAACTAGCTGGTTAAGAGAGTTTTTAAAAGTATAGTCATGATTGTTTTTGAAAGTATTTTTTATTTATAAATATATTAAAATAATATTTTTTTTATTTTTTATAATTTATTTTTAATATAGTATATCAAAACAATCAAAAAATATTAATTTTAAGCAAACAAAATTCAAAAAATTGAGTCCAAATTGTTTTTGTCCTCAAAATGTTTTTCAGATCAAAAGTAGAAGGATGGTATTGAAAAACTTGAGTAAATAGACTGGAATAAAATAAAATTGAAATTAGAGGGACAAGATTCACCATTGACCCTGAGATGTGCAGTTGCTATGCGACTCTTGCCTTTGGGCAGTTACGCATGTATTTTAAAAATATATTTAATTTTTATAATTATTGAATTAATATTTTTTATAATTTTAATATACCACATCAAATATAAAAAACATTATTTTAAATTGTCTTCAGTCAATAAATTCTTTTTAAAAAACATCAGACAAGGATGGAAAGTTTCTCCCGTCAACAACCACCAACTGTGAACTGGCTCTTGCGGTGCTTTGTCACTCCCTGTCACGGTTCAAGAGTTTTTTTCAAAAAAAACAAACTTTTCTTTAAAATTTATTAATTATGAGCTTATTATATTCATATATAGGCTAATTTGTTAATTACCAATTATTGAACATTAAATAACTGGGAACAATTAGATAATGTCAGGGTCCGTGGATAGCTTTCGTGTTTTTCTAGTTTTTTTTTAATTATATATTAAATTTATTTTTTTATATTAACACATTAAAATTATTAAAAAAATCAATTTAATATTTTTAAAAACTAGGCAAGTTCTCGAAACGCACCGAGTATAAGTTGAAAACTCTCTAACAAGAATGCATGTTGATCAATACTAGGTTTATTCTCGTGTGATTTTGTGTGCATGTTTTTCCTTGAGAATTGAATCTGAAAAATCAAGAAGTGAGGCGAATTTCTTTAACTATAAAACTAGTTATATTTAAAACTTGTTTGTTTTTACACTTGAAAAATATTTTTTAAAAAATATTAATTTTTTAATTTTTATAATATTTTCATATTGTTTTAATATGTTAATATAAAAATAAAAAAAAATTATTTTAATGCATTTCAAAGTAAAAAACAACTGTTACCACAATATTAATCGGACTCTAAATTAATAAACTTGATTTTAATACTAGAAAATAGGGGTGAGAAAAAAACTGAAAAATTGATTAAAGTGAGAAAATCAAAAAAATAACTGAAAAAACCCAAAAAAACCGATTAAAAATTTAAAGAAATCGACCAGTTCGGTTTTGGTTTTATAAGCAAAAAACCAAACCAAATCCAAACCGAAAAAACAAAAAAAAAATTAAGTCGAACCAAAAAAATCAAGCCAAAATTCAGCCAAACCAGTTTGAACCGGGTCTTTCCCTGAAAATCAAACCAAATTGAAATCAGTCAGTTTAAATCAATTTTGGTTTTTTTAAAAAAATTTAGTTTAATTACTTTCTTTGATAAAAACCAAATTAAACTAAAAATAATTATCCTTCTGCCAAACTAACCCAGAAACACATTTCAAATAAAAAAATAAATGATACATTTTATGAAAAGTTTAGTGCACCTTAAGCTATGAAATGTAAAGATGGGGGAAATCATATCAATTTTGAATCTACCATGTTTGATATGATATTTTGTTTATTTAATATTTTGTTTATACACACACATATGTGTGTGTGAGAGTTTTATATATATTTTTTTATGAAATTATCGGATATAAAATTAACTTGTTTATGAAATAATTTTAATGTGAATTTTTATATTTTTTTAAAATAGAAATTAAGAGGGACACTTCCTCTATTTTTATTATTTACATCTTTTCTATCTCCAACAGAAATAAAATGCTACCTCAAGACTCAAAAACATTTCATCCTAACCCAAGGTTTAAAATTAACCTGAAAATATAATCTCAATTATTTATTTTTTAACATTCAATACTACCCCCCACACCAGTTTTTATAAATCTATTAAACTAAAAATTTTACTGGGCCGGAATAAAATGCATGATTTCTTCTGACATTACAAAAGCCCATTCAAGTTTACCCAACACATTGGGCTCATCATAAGAGATACACAGGCCTAGCCCAAATTAAACATTACTAGATAAGCCGTTGAAACAGGCCCACATCCACTTAAGCCCGATGGGCTACTCACTGTCGCTTAAGCTGACTGCTGAGGTTTTTCCTAAACCATTCTGTCTCCTTGCCATCTTTGACTTTCTAGCCTCTCTCTCTCTACGCAGACTCTGTGGCTACCGGTTCTGCCTTGATTAACAAATCAACTAAAAAAGATTGAATCTTTTTGAATCAAACCGTTTCTGGAAAGTGGGTTTTGATTTTAGCCAGGGTTTATTCAGGACAAAGAAGATTTCAGCCCTGGAAGTTTCAGGTACCCTTTACTTTTCTTGATTCAAAGTTTCCATCTTTTTTATGGGAATTTATATTTTGTCGAATTTTCGCTGTTTGATGATTTTTTATTGCTTTGTTGATAAATTTTGAGTTTTCTTTGTTATACTAATAAGTTTGTGAATTTGCAAGGCGAGTTCTAGTGTTTTTTAAAGAATGGCCTTAGTGTGTTTAATTTTGATTTTTTCCCTCTAAACAGGAAGAACAAAAACAAAGTGTCATCCTCAAAGAATGCTATTTCTAGAAGGGCTCACAAGGAGAGAGCACAACCGTGAGTCATGTTTTGTTTTCCACCTGTGGCAATGCTTGTGGTTGCGGTAACATGTGTTTCTGGTTTATTGGTCTTAAATTCTGACTGACAGGCAAACGAGGACAAAATTTGGGCTGCTTGAGAAACATAAAGACTATGTTGACCGTGCTAAGCTTTTCACAAAAAAGAGGAAACTTTAAGGGTAAGAATTGGCTTAGAATCGTATATTCAGATTTGTTAGGTCCGATGTAATGTTGTTCTATGTTGCTAAGTTCATGGCTGTGGCTATGGCAATGTTTCTTTTAACAAAACGAAAGCGGTTTTGAAATGTTGGAAAATGAATCTTCCATTTAATAACAGAAAAAGGGAAAAAAGCGCAAACTGGGTGAAGATGAGATTGATTGTCCACCTAGAAAACCAGTAATCAAGTGGCGTCCAGAACGAAAGCGGTGAAAGGTGTTGCCTTGAGCTGCTGGCCACTTTATCAATCTGTTCATGCACCTCTATTAAGCTCGTGCATTTGAATAATATTTTCAGGAATGATGCCGTGAAAGAAGTGAAATTCCTTCAGTTGGATTGCCAACCAAGCTTGGCAGATAAGCTCCATGTCAGCTGGAAGAACTGACTGTCCAATTAAGAGGATGTTGATCTCAGCTGCCGGTGCACCTAGGAGTTTTGATCATCCTCTTTCAATCTGTCATCTGTATCACTCCTTTACATCCATAATCCTGTAGTTTTTAACGAAATAAGAAGCAAGCAAAACATGCAATCAGCTCTTAATTAAGGGCAGCATTTTTAACTTTTGATACGTACGTGTGACAATGTACAAAAACCTCAACCTGGAACATGCAATCAGTTCTGACAATCATTTCTTTTGATTGGAACAACAACTGATTCTAGAAATGTATTCAAAATATTTAACATTGAAGATTGCCTAAAAATTGAATTCTCACGATCCCCGACTCG